ACCTCAGCTTTGGTGCCGACCCTTGGTGTCCTGGTGGGTGTGGGAGCCAGCCCTGTGTGGCTTTGGGGGCTGCCTGAAAGGGCTGGAAGACCCTTTTCATCTTTTTGAAAGGTGGCTGCCAGAAATGTGTCAAAGATAAATGCTACAGCCCTGGGTTATCTATCAAGGGACTTTGGGAGGCTCTTGTAAAAAGAAAGGTGTTTCATTAAAAGAAAACTGCTGAGGACAGTCTTGGATCAGGTCTAAGTTATTCATTGCTGTCCAACAGCATAACAAATACTACTGCAAAGTGCAGTTGGCAAGAATCCTTTTTTCTGTGAATACACGTGTAATTTTGGAGCTAGTAACTTTTACGAGGGGCTGGTGTAGGGCAGGAGAAGTTGTGTCCGTTGGTGAAAAATAGCCTCCTCGCGTTACTGAAAGGAGAGTCATTTCGTCTTGGAGTAAACCAGAGCAGGGGCCGGCAGGGCACAGCGAGGTGCTGGCAGGGTGGCAGGGTGTGCTGGTGGTGGGACCTTCACCACCACCTGCTGGTCTCCTGGAGGACAGCAGAGGTGGCAGTGCCACCTGGGGATGAAGGACCTGGGCATGGAGGCAACATGGGGCCAAGTAGCCAGCACCAGCCCTGCGGCAGCAGAGCCTGTGCAGGTCCCCGGTGGGGGGCTGGCACCAAGCTAAGCAGTTGCATGACCATGGTGGGGGGGGGTCAGGGCTGGGGACGAGGCCCCTTTGCTGCCCCGCTGTGTGTGGGAACCGGGGTGCAGTGTCAGAGAGCGTGGCTCCCTCTTGGGTGATGCACCATGCTAGGGTAGGCAGACCCTCAAGGATGTCTAATGGAGATCTCCAGATCACAGGATGCCCCCACAGGGTTTGGTATCAAATCCCATAAGTAATAACAACCTCAAGAAAAATTCTTATCAGGAGCATTTGTCAGTTTGGTGGAATTTTGTGCGAATATCAGGTGCTGTTTGCTGAAGTTCTTTTGGGACCTCTTATCACAGTGCAACAGCTGGTGTGTGAGCAGAGGCACTTACGGATGAGGGCAAACAAACCATAAATTTCCAGCCCTGATGACAACTGGGGTGTGAGTGTTGTAGTTGGGGTCAGCCAGCCCC